TAAAATTTTACCTCATAGGACATACTCGGAACTAGTCAGCGAGCGAGCGACCTGGAGACCTGAAATACAGGGATACCCTAGCTTAGACTCCAATCCACCGGAAAAACATTACAATATCCCATGAATTTTTAAGTTTTGTCAGTAGACCTATCTATATACTTTTGTGGCGGAAGAATAAATATAATTTTCATTTTAATTTTTCATAAATAAAATAGGGAAATAGGGAGCAGCATTCTGAACGCAAGGGCGCTACTTTCATTATCACGCCTACTCAGCGTGGTGAGTATGGACAAGTTTTGAAAGTAATATGTACATGATAGCTGACATACTCTTAGAAAGGTCCTATTCCTTACACTGGACTTAAAAAGGCCGTTGATGTGCGATGTGATGATATTAATCTTGATGTAACAAACTAAATAATTTTCTCAGCGCTGTACGAAATATTTTTAGTTATAGATTTGTCGGTAAACAAGCGACTGACGGAAGTGTTATTGCGTTTTTCCGTAATAAACAGAGCTAGTAGTTCAGTTTTATTCTCAGCATGTTTATACCAAAATATGTTGTTTTTCACATTAAATCCTTCTGAGACCTGTTGGTTTTGGATTCGCATAGGTACAATATATGTTTGATAAAAAATAAAAGCACATTCCTAATAAGCCCATACAGTTATGTATACCAAGATATACATCCAGATACACGTTTAAAATATTATAAGTAGCAGGAACGTCACGAAAGTAAAAGTAGTTTCAGATTTAAGTAGGCAAATTGAAAGGAGTAGTAGTAATAAAAATATTTACTTTTGCGTCTACCACGAGGATACAAAAAATTGGTCGGTCAAATACTACGAGGGCTTAACAAACATCGCCAAATGAATATTCATAGGTCTGACGCTATCAAGGCATTCGTAAGACTAGAGAATCTGTTTCTTAGAAAGCGTCGAAAGTTTATGTTCCAAATTTTATATTACGCACGACAAACAAAATGTATTTACTTAGCAATTTTAACAGCTGTCACCTGCACATAATACTAAATAAATTGAGAAACAATTCTGTTCTGTAGAAACAACAGGCAGTAAGATGCTCTTACCCCGCATGTCTCTGTAGGTCAAGAACAATATGAACTGCAAGTGTAATGTAATTACTGTAACAAATTAGGTGCCGCAGTACACAAGGCTGCACTGCATTGACAGTACAACAATGTTTTCTTTTTTCATAACATCGTGTACTTGTTTTTCTACTTGTTTCCTATTTCACACTTTGTGATGGTAAATAATTGATCAATTAATGATTATCCAGTTATTTTTCCTCGACAATACAAGTGTCTAAAAATGTGTGTTTAAATTTCCTTATCTGTCTTTTTGCCTGCCCAACTAAATTATGTTTAAAAAATAAAAAAAAACATTTTATAAGGTGTAAATAATAATACAACTCATAATTTTACTTGAATAAAGTATATGTCGGAAATATTAAATGTATGACATTTTAAAGTAAATAAATTTAACTGTTGTATATTTTCATTTGATAAAAGCGGACATTTTTTATAGGATATGGGCGTCAAACGAGCACGCAGTCCACCTGATGGTAAATAGCTACTGCGGCCCATAGGCATCTCGTGAGGATTAAGATGGAATGCCCCGTTTCCAGTAAAAAGGTTCTCTACACTCACCATATGCAACGCAGCAGCGTTTAGCTGCTATTTACGTTGGTATTCTTTGAGAGCGTGGGTCCTTCTCCTGTCGAGCCGACCCATTCGTGCTACAACTACTAATATAGCAACATGGCTCTATCACGTAAAAGATGTTTTCTTTTTATTCAAAATTCCAAAAAAAGTATAGACTGGACTATTTTTTTTTATTTTTCGCATATATCTAGATACATGAGTTAATTAAGTCAACAAGTCGTAGATTTAGCTTGCATAATTATAAATTATGAACATAGAGTAATATCTATTGTAAGTTGTAAATATTTAAATATATTACTGTCACAAATAATAGACTAGCTAACAACTAATAGAATAGCTAATTGAGACAGCAAGATTTTAGTTACTAAATGTATTTTAGTTACTTTCATAGCGTAATGTCTTATGGAATTTTGCTATGGGGTAATGCGACTGATATTGAAGCTATATTTGTTTTGCAAAAGAGAGCCGTACGGGGGATTTATAACCTAAATTGTAAAGAGTCCCTCAGGCAAAAATTTAAAGAAATAAACATATTAACTTTGGCAAAAATTTAAAGAAATAAACATATTAACTTTGGCATCGCAATATATTTATGAGAATGTAATGTATGTGCATAAAAACATAAATAGCTTTAATAAGAATAAGGATATGCATACTTTAAACACTAGGAACAAACATAAGCTTGTAATGCCAGTTACTAGACTCCACAGAATCAGTAATTCATTTATGGGGCAATGTATACGCTTTTACAAAAAAATCCCAGAACATATTCAAAGTTTGTCAATAAACAAGTTTAAAAGTTTTATTAAAGAATAACTGTACAAAAAGAGTTATTATAATATCAAGGAATACATGAATGAAAATAACCCCTGGGAATAAGATGATCGCCACCATGCTGGTTCTATGAAAAATCATTTAAAAATTGTATAAACGAAATTATTGTTAAGTGAAATATGTTTAAAAAGTCCCGCTGGGTTTCTTGCTGGTTCTTCCCTGGACTGAGGTATTTTCCGAACCAGTGGTAAATAAAAAATGACTTTCAATAAGTATTATATAATAATCAATATTGAATAAAAAATTATTCTATTCTATTCTAATCACAAAGACTTTTCCTTATTAAATCTGTACTTGAAAAACTTATGGAAATATTCCAGACGATTATTCTTGATACGTTCAATTTGTCAATACTGAGCTCAATTCAATTCTACTCACGTCATTTTTCGTACGGAAGTGGAAATTTTACCAGAGACAATATTATCGTCTATTTTTACGTGACTTTAATCACAGACCACTGATTACCTTATCAGTTGTAATGAAATCGGTTTCTATGTTCACGTTACTATATAATATTTAGTAAATTGTATGATAGTTATATGATTTATACGGGTATTTTTGAATTTTCATCCTGCCAGGCATTACATCTCGTCCCGGCTCAGTTCATGATCATTATGGTCATCATCCATCATTCAGTGTTGAACATACAACAACGTTAACGACGTATACATGACATTTGTCTTGTCCATTGCCACTTCAGCTTACTGATCCGCTGGGCTAAGTCGATAACTCTTGTGTACTGCTAATATCCTCATTAGGAAGATTGTTACACTGAGAAATTCCGAGCATAGCCCACTCCATAGCCCGCTGAGCGGCCTTGAGCTTCCCCCTACGGCCCTCAGTGTAGGGCCACGTCTCAATACATACATATGTCATCACTGTCACACGCATACGCACTGATTGTACACTCTTGTCAAGTTTTCAGCTATATCTACTAGCAGATGTGTTGTAATCACCCGAACGCTGTCCAGCCGAACCAAATATCTCTGTCGAAGTTGGACTTACCTAATCGGACAATTTGTCCTATGTTTACTTGTAAAAATTATTGAGCATTTGGAGCACCCCAACTACTACAGATATAGACATCACACGCATGACTTCTAAGGTCATTGAGCATAGTACTAAAGTTATCTTTTAATCCTACCATAATGACTATATCGTCGGCAAATCGAAGGTGTGATGCGCTCGCCATTGATGGTGATATTTATTTATTTATTTATATTCACATAGGCCCATTTACAGGCTCTCATGAATAGTCAAGCAGTAGAGCAAGCTATGCTCTCATGAGCTCTCATGAGTAGTCAAGTGAATAGAGCATGTAGGCTTGTAAGAAAGAAAAAAGAAAAATACATTTGAAAAATAACAATTTCAATCAATGTCAACCTTTAAATACCGAGTGTCCAATAGGAAAGTTCAATTTTCAAATTTGAATTACGCAGTAACGGTTGGCGCGGTGAAGTGGAGAGAGGTCTTAATCGACGCGTCAGGCGTGCGGGTTTAACAGTCGCGATGGAGCATTGGACCGGAGTGCAACGTGCTTTTGTTGTCGAATCTTACTTTAAGAGTGGTGACTCGAGCGCTGCTGCGCTTAGGAAATTTTGTTCTCAATACAATATACGCCGACCAAGAGATGCTCCAAGTGTAAACCTTTTAAAACAGTGGATTAAGCAGTTTCGTCAAACGGATTCTACCATAATATATCAACCAATTCCAGGCCGCACACCTACTCTATCAACCCAGGAAAATGTGCGCCGAGTAAGTGATTCGGTCTTCTTTACGGAATCATTCGGCAGTTTTGGGAATCCCTAAATCAACAGTTCACGTCATAGTTAGGAAGAAATGCGTTTTCATCCCTATAAAATACAGTTAGTGCAAGCTTTAAAAGAAAGTGATTACATATTACGGAAATCTTTTAAAAATATTTTATACGTGGTAGAGCCATGCTGCAGCTATATTAGTAGTATAGTTGTAGCACGACTGGTTCGGCTCGACCGGTGAAAGACCACGCTCTCACAGAATACTAGCGTAAAATGACCCATTTTACTGGAAAAGAGGCATTCCATCTTAGTCCCCACGGGTGCCGACGCATCTGCATTTTGATTCTTTACTGAGGATAAATGTAGATGTCTATGGGTCACAGCAACCACTTACCATCAAGTGGATTGTGTGCTCGTTTGTCACCCTATCCTATAAAAAAAATCTTGTGCTGAAAAGATGTTGGAAGTTTTTCTGTTTTTTAGCGATGAGGCTCATTTTTATTTGGAGGGCTATGTAAATAAACAAAATTGTAGATATTGGGCACCAACGAACCCAAAAGAGAAATATCAACGACAGTTACATAGTCCAAAGGTGACTGTTTGGTGCGCCATAACCTCTAGTGGGGTTATTGGACCGTTTTTTTTTTTTTGAGAATGAGTACGGTCGTGCTGATCGACAATTATTTTTGTTCCTATTGTAAGAACGGAACGCCGTTTTAACAGAAACACATGGATCCAACAGAATGGAGCCACTTCCCATACCTGCAGAGAGTCGATGGACACGGTAAAGGCACTTTTGCCACAAAAAATGATATCGAGGTTTGGGGACATCTGCTGCCCACCCAGGTCGCCCGACCTCACACCATGTGATTATTTTCTGTAGGACTATCTAAAGTCAAAAGTTTATTCAAACAAACCATGAACACTAGCGACTCTGAAAGAAAATATCTGGCAAGAAATTAACAATATCTCCCCTGCTCCCTCTCTGCAAGAAAGTGTTTGAAATTTTGCGTATCCGATTAGAAGAATGTGTACGAAGAGATGACATTTGGAGGGAATGATATTCAAAAAATAAAATGCGCTGAGCTTCTTAATATTGTCATATTAAATTAATATTTAATAACTTAGTATTCTTTTTCTTAAATCGAAGAATGAACTTTCCTATTGGATAGCCGGTGTATATTACCAATAATCATAGATCAATAAAATACTAAAATAACATTCAGTTGTTTAAATTTATTTAAATTATTTTGTGTGTAATTTGTCAACTATCAAATGATCATGCGTTTATGTTATTAATGTAATTGTCAAATTGTGTAATATGATTTCTAATCTAAGTATTTTTTACATACTTTTAAAATTTATGTAAAGGCAAGTCTGATTGTTCAAGTCATGGAATTAGGTAGTTTGTTCTAAAATCTAATGCCTTGTGCCATAAATGAATTATAAGTTTTCCTTAGTCTAAACAATGGTGTAACAAGTTTATTTTGTTTCTGATATTAAGATCATACATGTATATATTTACTGTACATATGTATATTTTTATAATTTAGATTATATGTATTGTGAAGCAACAGTTAATATGCCGAACTCTTTAGATCGTTCCTTTAGAGACACTTGTGTTCCCAAGTTATAAATGGAAAGAACAGCTCTCTTCTGCAAAACATGATATATGTTTATGTCCACTGACAATACCCATAGTAAAATACCAAAGGACATAACTCTATGGCAACAACTAAAATACACTAAGCTAGCTGTTTCCACATCAGTTAACTGTCTAATCTTACGTACTGTAAATGCAGTAAAACTCAGTTTTGCCGCAAGAGTATAAATATGAGCGCTCAAGTGAAGCTTAGAATACAACGTAATTCCTAAAAATACTGTTGAGTTAACCATTTTTAACGATTCCTCAACAAGATTATACTCATGGTTACAATTTTTATATTAGTAAGTGTAAATTCAATGAATTTAGTATTTTTCGCATTCAATAGAAGATTGTTAACCGTAAACCACCGTTTTGTATGCGAAAGAGGATAATTTACATCGTGAAAGTTAGTCTTGTTTCTATCTACAATAAATATAAGAGAAGTGTCATCTGCACACAGCACTATTTTTCAGTAAATCGTTAAAATATGCTAAAAATAAAAAGGGACCTAGAATACAACCTTGCGGTACACGCTTTTGAACAAATGACCCGACTGATTTTACTCCATTTATTATAACACTTTGTATGCCATCAGTTAAATATGATCTAATAATTTCAAGATATGTATTCTTTATTCCTTAGTGAGACAGCTTACCAACACAGAATATAACAAATCCTTTCCAGTCTAGTACGTAGTAAACGCCCAGCCTAGTAGAAATCTTCTTTGTAGAAGTCTTCCAATGGAACGGTGAAGAGTTTCGGGGCTATAATGTCACCGCGTTATATACCTCTCTGCAGTTGAATAGATTTTGTATTACGTTGAAGGGATTGTAGCACCACCCAAATTTTGATGGAATTAAATATATAACAATACAGTACTCTTTACCCTTTATTGTACACCAAAAAAGAAACTACATAACAAGAAACAAACATGAAGATAAAACAGAAGGCGGTCTTATTGCTATAGAGCAATCAATCGAAGGCTTTTTCATAGTCCACATACATTAGGCAAAGTGGCAGATGGTACCCGTCCCGGCTCTGTTATAAAAATAGAATAAAAGAAATGCTTAGGAAATTTGATCGGAGTTGTAATCGATAAAGACTCCGACCACGAAATTGAAGCAAGAACTGAGGCACGCCATGTTCATTCATTAATTTAAAAATATCGTTAGTCAGTTTGTATACTAATCATATCCTAGGAAATCATAGGGGCCTATCATGTGGAAGATTTCCAGTAAGTAATTACCACACACTGACAATCGCAGCACCTGACTCCTGAAAACTTTGACTATGGTCTTCATTATATACGAAATGGTTCTCATCTATCGGGGCCTTAAAAGCTTCACGACATTTCTTTTACGTAACTTTTTTGCAACGTATGAGATGGGATGGTAGATTTTCTTCTGTCACCACTTGCCACCACACGACTGATGGCGTACCATTATAATATAATACGTTAAAAGGCAGAATCAACGGCACTGTGGTCCGCCACAGTATTGTGCTGAGCTAGCAACCTTAATCTTAATTATATCTTTTTATCATACGTCCTTTTCATCTCTGTTTATTGTATACTACTTCTCAGTAAAAAAATATAATTTACCTATCTTTCATATATTATTTATTATTACAATATAAGATTTTTACTTTAAAATAAATAAATACTAATTCACATAGCCTGTTTATCACTTACATCATTTCATTTTTCTTTTTTTTTTTGGCTGTGTCTTAGTTCGATGATGGAATCAATGATTTTAAAGTTATGTTTTTTATTGTTTCAGATGCCTGTTTAAGATGTCAAGGTGAAAGCAAAAAGGATTCATACGGGAAACAGGACTGCGTTGTCGTCTGGGGAGAATGTAACCACAGTTTCCATTTCTGCTGCATGTCGCTTTGGGTGAAACAGAACAATCGATGCCCACTCTGCCAACAAGAGTGGTCTATACAACGAATGGGCAAGTAAAAGTAGCAATATGAAGAAACACATTAAAGCAGTTATATCATTTGCACCTATCGTCTTTCAGAACAGTTACAAAAGTAAATAAAATATGATTAAAGGTTGATATTTGTCTATATTTATTTTTGATACCCGTTTTTAAGGTTATAACAAGAAATACATAATATGTATGTTTAACATATTATGTTTGTTGCTGTTTAATTAAACTACGATTTTAAATATAATTGGTAAAATCGATCCATATCTATTTATAAGTTAAAACAAAGCCACGATCTTAGAAATCAAGATCTTAGAAAAATAAAAGTAATTCTCCATGTATTGTTCCAGTTGACTTACATCTATAATCTCATCATATAAATAAAATTGAAATGTTTGTTTGCAATATTAAATAAACTGGCTTCTATTAAGCTCATGGGGTTATATGAATATATTATCATAGGTATCCCTAGGTCCCTCAGCCGGTTATATGTATATTACGAGGCATTCCATCTTAGTCCTCATGGGTGACAACGCATTTTGATTCGTAATCAAAGATAGATGTATATGTCTATGGGTCACAGCAACCACTTACCGTTAGGTGGACTGTGCTCGTTTGTCACCCTCATACTATAAAAAAAAATTAAATTCATAAATTTATGAATTCCAGGCTGGAATAAAATTTTTATTCTACATGGTTTTTTATACAATAAGGGTGACAAACGAGCATACAGTTCATCTGATGGTAAATGGTTATCGTCTGTGGTCTTACTGTGGCTCATAGACATCTACATCTATCCTCGATTAAGAATCAAAATGCAGATGCGTTGTCACCCCTGAGGACTAATGATGGAATGCCTCGTTTCCAGTAAAATGGTTCCCGGGTCTCTACACTCGCCATACGAAACACAACAGCGTTGAGCTGCTATTTTACGCTGGTATTCTGTGAGAGCGTGGTCTTTCCCGATCGAACCGACCCATTCGTGCTACAACTATACAATTAATATAGCTGCAGCATTTTGACGCAGTAATTTGACGCTAAAGAATTATTGTTTTGTCACTTGTTCAAGGCTGCTGCTAACTCTGACATGGTTTGAGATGAATTCGCGTCAGTGATCTTTCAATTTGTCATTATTGACCTTTATTCCGGTCGTCCACACGTTTTGTTGTTTAGGAACGGGAGCGATCAAACCAATACCGCAATAATCCATTGCGTGTGTATTTGGGTTACCTAATTTTTACTTGTCTATTGATATGTCTATTGATTGCAGTCTGTGAAGTATTAGTGCCGCGATGGAGCTTATACTAGAAAATAAAGCGAAATATCCATTATCCATTTGGTCACAGACACACCGATATCAAATAAAAACCGCCGTGCGCTGACGTTACTAAGGGTTGAATGTAATCTGGTTCAGCACAGCACTGGGTAGCTATCCTAATTATTGATATTGTTTGTCGTATTGTGTTTTCTAGCACTATTGTACTCTGGTTCTGTACTCGGAAAGCTATCGTAGCACCGCTCAATTTCGACAGAATCAAAGATTTTCACATAGTCCACATCAGGCAGGGGCAGATTGTACTTCTTCGATGTTCTGTACAGTTTGCAGAAGAGTATGTAGTATTTTTGTAAATCGTCTTGTTTTGGAGGCTAGAAGTTGTCAAGTTTGCGTGCAAGATGGTTCGTAATGACTCTTGGAAACAGCATGTTGACGCAGATCACAAGGGAAATTGATCTGAAGTTCTTTAATAGAGCGTTGACGTCTTTCTTGCAGAATAAAACCACCTCACTCTGTTCCACGCCAACGCACTCATGGGGAACGAAATTGAAGAGCTTCTGAAGGACTGTAAGTAGCGGTTTTCCGGCCCCTTTCAAAAGCTCCGCTGTAATTCTATTGCCACCTTATTCTAAAAACGGCCTTGTTGTTTTTAAGGCGCTGCAGAGCCATTCTAATCTCGCTCAGACCGATATCCGGTATATCACCGGAATAATATCAGAGTAGACGTCGTTTGTTTATGGATATTAATTATAAAAAAACACATACCCACACATAAACTACACATTATTTTCATTCACACACATTTCATACATACTCAATACTCATACCCTCACTTAATTATAATCCATGGAAAGAGCAGAACCACCCAATACAAGCATTTTTACATACTTCCTGGGTGGTTTTGGCCACGGAATAATACTGTAACTAATCAATATTAGGAAATAAGCTATTTTTTAATTAATTCATTCACTGGTTTATAGGGCACAGAGCTGTACAGGCCTTTGACCTAAACGTAAGGCTTCATACTAGCGGCTCTTTGTATTACGATCACGCCGTATACGTTGACGCCTTAATAATATAACCAACGGCAAAGTCTTCCATTTACTACACATATTAATGACGGCAATAAATCAGGGAACTCTAAGTAGTCATACATCATGATTAGTGAGAATAAATACCGCTTCTTGTCTACTTTTGTTTGTTTTCACATAATTGAAAGCCATTGTTGAATACATTACTCATCTCTCAATCACTAAGAATTGTTTGTTTTTAATGACATTGTAAACATAAATGTAGATAAGATTAATGGATTGCTTGTAGTTTCTATATTTCAGAAAAATTATACTAGTTTGACCGGTGCAATAACGCTTTTCTATTGATGAACCATAGATTGATCTGTGGAATTTAGATTTTTACTTATTAATTACTCCTTTTTGTTTTTATCTTCGTTGGTATAAAAAACGAATTATGTACACTATTTTAAAATACCCTAACACCAATTTAGAGTAAGAATTGATTAAATTACTAACATTTGTTTATAAAGCTTACCTTGATTTGTATAGACTTATTATAAACTGATCTAGATTCTTTAAAACTAAAAATTAAAAAAAGAAATATTTCTGCAGTTAGTGAGCTGACTGTTTAAATTAGGTAGGACTCTACGTATGATTCAACAAATTTGACCTTAATTTTTGAGTTAAAATATGCAATTACATATTCTAATCCAACAAATGCCGACTTTTCAAGGAAGATTATTTTATTAATGGAAACCCATGTTCAGCAGTAGATTTGTGATGGACTATAAAGATGATGATGTGCGGTTAAAATTTTTACATTAGTTGATTAACACAATTCATCTGGTGATAAATTAAAGACATTTAAAGTTGGTAAAATTACCTCGCCTACATCCGCTCGATAAAATAAAATGATGTGTCTTACCTAGTTTGAAGAGCACCTCCCTCCCGCCCTCACTCAATTGCGTGCACTATCCCCGTCACCACTAATCCCAGCACCACTACTCCCAACACTACTACACTAGGAAAGACACGCCACTGACGACAATATGACACGTGTTTCGCCTCTACACGAGGCATCTTCAGGTGATGTAGACTCTGCGGTGGCTGACCGCTAGTAGTTGTGCTAGGATTAGTGGTGACGGAGATAGTGCACGCAATTGTGGGAGGGCGGGAGGTGCTCTTCAAACTAGGTAAGACACATAATTTTATTTTATCGAGCAGATGTACGCGAGGTATTTTTACTAATTTTAATATAATGGATTTCCGCAAAGTAACGCCTGATTCTATTAATCATATTAAGGACATTTTCAAACAACTTTAAAAAAGTAAATTACTGGCTTCTACCTGCCATAAGGCTTCTGTATACAGGCTCTCTTAGAACAAAGCCTCAGTAGAAAATGTAGGTAGAGGTGGGACGTCCAGCGTGCGCTGCAACTAAGATGCGTGCAAACTCAATCTATATATAAACTATAGAAAACGCCGCTAAGCTGCACGCACCGCCAACCGCTCTCCCCTGAGAACTTAGACTTAGAACCGTTTAAACCCACTGTTTCTTCTGGCGGTAAGTAGCCACTACTACCTTTGTCTTATGTAATTTCAAATTAAGAATGCCACAGATAGGTCAGCGATCTTAAAAACTAAGATGGAATGCCTCACAACCTGTAATTATGACTTACCATAAAAACTGAACCGACCCTTTTTGTTTGTCATGTTTATAATGTACGTCAATCTACGCAAAACGTTTATTTCGCCATTTTTTTATACAGAAAAAAGTGTGACAATCAAGCATACAGTCCACCAGATGATAATTACATGCTTTGGACCATAGACACCCACATTTATCATCGATTACAAATCAAAATGTAAACCCGTTGCCACCCTTGAGGATTTGGATAGAATGCCTCGTTACTAGTAAAAAGGGTATTCAATACCCTACGCTCACCTTACGACACAGCAGCATTATGTTGCTATTTCACACTAGCATTCTGTGAGAGTGCGGTCTTTCTCCGTGGTCTGACCCATTCGTGGTGCAGCCATAATACAGGAGCAGTGTGGCCCTATCACGTAGAGTTAACATAATGTTAACGCCCGATCGCAAACCTGTTCACGCGAAGTCCAAATGTCAAGTCAAATATAATAATATGGCATATTAACACTCCATTATCAAGCATAGACTCCTCAGTAAATTACGTCACGTCAGCCCGAAAATAACCACCCAATCATATAATTTATCTTTTATTTTGATAATTTCTCGCAAATCTATATCTATACAAATAAATAAAACTGAAGTGTCTGTTTGTAATGTGAAAATAACAGCTTTTTACTAAATGCATATGAAAGTATATACGGTACTTATAACAAAAACACAATTTTAAAAATTTTTGTCTGTATGTCTGTCCGTCTGTCATCTGTCCGTTTGTTCCAGCTAATCTCCGAAACGGCTGGACTTATTTTGACGGGACTTTCACTGGCCGATAGCTAATGTTACTCGTATAAGGAGTAACTTAGGCTACTTTTATTTTTTGTTCCGCGTAAAAAAATAAAAACCAAAGTACACACGAGCGAAGTCGCGTGGTACAGCTAGTTCGTAAAATAAAGAAGCTTGACAAATGGATAACTCACATACTGGGTGACGCACAGTTGATGATAGAGTGGTTGGCAAAATTAGCAGATATTGAGTTCATTGCTTCTCGGGCGGCATACTTCTATAGCAGGAAAATCAACAACCTACTCACAA